AAAAAAAGGAGAGATGAGGAAGACAGGAAGACATGAAACGAAAGAGGAAAAGAAGGTACGTCAAGGGGAAGAGAATGAGAGGGGAAACCAAATGAAGGGGACGGAAGCCGACGAAGTCAAACCTCATTAGAAACACCTAGGTAGACCTCGCCTCGTTTAAGTGTAAACGCTGTGTGTGCACCTGACATTGCGACAGGTTCCAATGAACCTTGGAAGCTTTGGTCGCTGCGACCACGTACGGCACGCCCAAAGGCTGCCAACTCACGACCGCTGCGGTCACCTAAAGGCTTGCCCGGAGGCTGCCAGCTTGGAATTCAATAGTCCGACAGGTCTTGGCAAATAACTTTGGCTTAAGCCTCCTGCTGTCCGCTCTGGACACGTACATCTCCAGGCAGGGGAGATAAAGACAAACCCCCGTTCAAAGGGCCACTCGTCGGGGTCACCCTGGGCTCTCACTGAGGAGAGACACACTTATTGACACGCGTACTGATCTGAATGCCACATGCCACACACACCCAGGTGTGAACGCCTAAGGGCTCAGGTGCGTTAAAGTCAAGAAAGTAAGCAACATCTCAAGGCCTCCAAAGGCCTCCAAGCCCCGACAAAAACGAATCGACGGCAGGGCGAAATGACGGCGGCCGCTCTTGTCTGCAGAGTGCACTAGCCCTTTGTGGAAGAGGAGTGACAGCTTTGTCAACAGTTCCAAAAGGCAGGTACACCAGGTTGATCAGTATTATATACAAAAAGCCCACCAAAAAAGAGCGAACAAAAACTCATGGTCGCTGACGCGGCCGTGAGCGCCAACAACCCAGGTTACCCAGGCACCATGCGACCCAACCATATCCATAAGCCCCAAACGGCTGAAGTGGCATGGCTTGCACACCGCCTGACACTCAAACAAGCTCTTCACACCGGAGACAACAACTTTGAAAGGCCCTGCACTCTATCCCTCTCTGTCTTTCTTTGTCTGCTTATTTCTTAGCTGCTTTGAAGTCTCCCCCAACAAACAGCCTGCCACCAAGGATCTTGGAGGCGGGTGGCACCTAAGAGGGACTTCAGCTGCATCGGTCCAAATGTCGGCAAAGGCAAAGTCCCTTCAGTGGACTAAGCTCCACTCTGCATTGGTGCATGCAAGACCGGGCGCGGAACCTGGACCCGTGAAGCGATGAGTTGATGTCCTTAAGAGCCTTGTGATTCAAGCCATGCTCTCCTATCTTCAATTTATATGTGCTGTATATGTGTATATATATATATATGATCTGGAGATCTCCAGAGCCTCTGAAAAGCCAAAGGCACCAACTGTCCTGGCCCATAAACCTTGCAACTGCATCCCTGTAAGTAGTTTCCCCAAGGATTCCCCTCAGCAATGAAACACTAGTAGCGACCTTAGACTCTGTAATGGTTTGCATATATGATTCATTGTTGGCGTTGGATGGATCTGAAAGAGATTCAGAAGCATAAGCCTGCAAGAATTGCCGGTATCCCAAGATTTGTGAAACACAAATATTGCACCCTTCTCTTCCCATTCCCACCAATTATTTGCGCAGCTTTTAATATCATCTGAATGTGTCATCGAAAGGCATCTCGTGCCGAGTCAAGGCCTGCAGCATTGCATCCGCTGCTGTGGATCGGTGCTGGGGCCCCGGAGTGCTGCTCCTCTCCACCCATTCCGTCGATCCAGCTGACAGCAAGTCGTGACTCTGCCGACATAGTGAGAGGCAAAAGGGTTAATGCCGCTATTCTTGCCACACCTGAGCACCTGCTATTCTCTCACATGGTAGCTTTGACCAAATCTCCTCCATCGCTGCGGTGGCTGCACCGACAGGCTGCGATAACTTAGACCCAGCACTTCCAGGTGAGGCTCAAAAGCTCGACTCAAGGTGCTATACTCTAAGAAAGAGCTTGCTTTGCGTTTAAAACGCACGTCCTCCCTTTCCTCCGTTCCCAACGCAACTGCTGGAGCACCACTCGGCTCCCCAACGGCGTCGAGGCGCGGCCGGGCCTTCCGGAGCAAGGTTCGTAGCGCCTCGGCGGTGGACCGTGTCAAACAGGAACGTGCAACTTCATGGAGAATTTGAATCATGAATCTCTTCGACCTTTCTTCCTTTTCTTTTTCATTTGTTTCTATTAGCAATGGCCTCCAACCTAAGAGCGATGGCCTCCAGCCTACTATGGACTATGGATCATGGACAATCATTGTCTTATTTTTAACCGCCAGATCGCCTTTGTTGCACACTGCATCACTGTATCAGTACTTTGGACTAACCTGGAACTTGAGACAAAACATGGCTCATCTCATCAGCTGTGAGCACCAGACCAATGCAGCAAAGGTGATGCACACGGCACCTGCTGAGGTGGTGGCATGCTGCCAGCACGGCCTGCAGCGCCAGCACAACTGCAACAATCTCTGCATCTTCGACTTCCGAAACCCCCGGGTCTCAGTGCATGCATCAACATGCCTCGCAGCCGTGCAATCGGAGTATCAGGAGCTTCAACCTGGACTTCACAAATTGGTCTCTGAGTTTATGTGCATCAGCTCAAGGACCTGTCCTGCGGGGCAACCACCACCCTTCTCGGCGGAGTAAGAGCTCTTCTGGGTGTGGCCACATAACGTTGAACGACGACTGGAGATACCCTGCCAGAAGACAAGTTGATTGCCACACAAGGTGAGACCCCAAGAAAAAGTCCAGCAGGTAATGGACACATCAAATGAACTCAAAGATGTATTGGTGTTGTGGTGGTTTCTCGCAAGCGCAATCTTCTAACGGCTCCACCTTGGTGGAGTCATGCAGCGGCCTGCTGCACAGGGTGTACCTGCAAAGCTCCTAGTAGCGTCCTTGCTCCTAGCAGTAAGGCCACAACCCCTAGTGGCGTCCTTGCTCCTAGTAGCGATGCCCTTTGCTCCTAGTAGCGTCCTCTAATCCCAAGAAGGAAGGGCTCTGTAAGAATTTGTGTAAAGAAAAAGTGCCCATGCAAATGAACACTTCAAGTGGATGGCACCTGGTGTTGGAGTGGACACCACCGGCCCTCTGCGATGCGATACATCAAGTTCCTGTGTGACCCGCTCACAGCGACGGCTTGTGAGCAACATCATCTCTCAGCCGTGTGGCCCAAGAACTGAAGCATCACTTAAACATAAATCCGGCCTCATCATCCAAGCTGCTCCGGCGAACAGCCTCCAGAGGTCTTTCTGCGCCATTCAAACACCCATGGCGAGTCGGACTCGCCAGTAAGCTCAAGGCCGGCGATGGCTGGGGCTGCTGGTGATTGGGGCCTCCGGAGATGCTCACATTCAACCAAAGGTAGCATGTCATGATTCCGCGCAGCCCAGCAGGTTGAAAGACATTGCTGACTCCGGTAGAAACTTCGAGACCTTTCCAGAGCAGCCTGGAGAGCAGTTCCTTGAAGCCGGTCTTCTTGGAGTTACGACCTGCAGAAAAACAAGAAAAGGTTTCAACCCACGTATCTCCAAGATCTCCAAGACAAAACGACAAAAGTGAAGAGCGAAGACTATACTACTAACAAGATATCTGCTAAGACAAATATATATATATATATATAATATCTATCTATATATATATATATGTACATAATAACCGCCTTTGCAAATACACGACTATCAAAATGATGTTCCTCCAAATTCCATTCTTGCCAAGCTCACCCGCTCTCTGGCCGGCGTGACTGGCAGCGTGGGAAGTTCTGCAACCTGGGGCATCCGGGGTCCATCCGGGCTCGTTCTGTGGACCACTACATTGCTGCGCACTGCTTGCACTCAGAAACACTGCAAGACACTCAAGCTGGTTGGCACATTAGTGACGCTGGTCGAGTGCCAAAGACGCGCTACCAGGATGACAAGCAGCGAGGAAGTGCTCAGGCTGCTTCGGCCCCTGCTCAGAAAATGCATTGAGAAACATGTTCAAGACAGGAGTCCCCTTGCTCTTGACTTGATGCATTGCTGTGTTCACAAATCAAAGCGTCCAGTCTTCACTGCCTTCACACAGCCACAACTAACCCAAAACCTGTCCCATCAAGACCGATCTGAACCGATATGAACCGGCTCCTCCAGTTGCTGGATGGGGCTCACCGGCTCGGGCGCTGCAGGCGCTGGCGCTGCATGCGGCGTGGCATCGACGGCCGGGGCAGGTCCCTGGCGTCGCTCGACGTGTCCGGCGCGCCCCGTTGAGCCGAGCGCCACCGCACCTCTTTGCTCAGAGCACAGCGTCGCAGCTCATCTTGGAGGGCCGCCTGAGTGGAAAAGCATCCGAAACAGGAGGATTTGTGCTGCGAGACTTCTATGTTGGCTCCTTTGCTGAACATCCCGGCTTTAGGCCAGTGGCAATCTGTGCGTTCTTGACTCCAAGCAAGGCATTCAGCCGAGCTGTTTCAGTATCAACCTCCTGGTTCAGATTGCGTGTTTCCCGAATACCCATTAGTCATTCTTCTCAAACATGCCAAAGCATGCAGCAGTCCTCCTGAGAGACTCGTCTCTGTGATCTGGTAGTCAAGCAAGACCTTGGAAGGGCCAAATGTAAAGTGCAGCTAACTAGCTCAAAGACCCCAAGGAACACGTGAGGAACATGCTGTCCTTGCTTCGACTAGAACGGCCTCTTTGGGTCCTGGCGGAAACGAGGGAATGGCCTCTTCTGCAATCTCTTCGTCCAGTGCATCCATGTGCTCCTTGCGACCGCGTGAGGATCCACAAAAGGTTGAAAAAGCGGTCAACTCATGGTAGGCTATCCCCTCTCACTGGGTACAACTTCAGATTTGTATCTGGTCTCCTGCAGCTCGTCGGAAAAGCTCCCAAAAAGGCTTTGCCGGACCTCCTCGGCAGCCATATCGATCTCAGCCGCCGGTGTCTTAGGAGTCCTCACGTTGGAAGAGATCGGACGCAGCTGGCACTTCAGGATGGATCTAGTTACAGGCCCCTTGTCACATGTGTCCTAGAAGGCAGATGCTCCTAGACCTCATTCAAAAGCCCTGCAATGTGTCGAAATATTTTGAAATAGCAGGCTATATAGACGAACAAGAACCGACCGGAGTCAGCAAAACTCCCGCTCAAAGAACCTTTGTTTCGGAGGAGCATTGAAAGCCATCGATAGCGTCGGCAACGGATAGACTACAGTAGATACGGTCACGTTTAAGGCTCTGAGGCCCATCTCTCCTGCTTCCAGTCACAGACGTAGTGGACCTACATGATCTTGGGCTCACACTCTGGAGCTGTTCATTTGGCCCTTGTTCCAGCTTCTCGGGCTCTTCACATCTCAACGAATGTCTGCCGTTCTCGGATTCCAGCAGAATCTTTGCCTTTGTGTTGGGATGTTCCCAACACCAAGACAACTGCTTCTCGGTGGTCGCAAAGACCGGCTTTCCGTCCACCAACACCTTTTTCTTCCCAGAAAAGCGACTGTGCTCCAGCTCGACCTGGCGTGGCACCATGTTACATGTTTAAAAGTGGAACACTGGCGCCGTTGCATCCACCAAATATATACTGTCTTATACTGTGCCATCTTTGATGTTGGGTCACGCTGGAGTCTCTATATATCCTCTTGATCCATTGGTGAAGAACAGAAGGGGTCTTAGGTGCACGAACTTGTTGATGAGTAGCCTGAGCATCCTGTTATCTCCTGTGATTCTCAACATACCCTGCCTTCAGCTCGGTGGATTCAAGGAAGAAGGTCCACGCATGCCGCAGCTTCGAGGACTTCATGTGCCGTCCAATGTGGTCCACCTGGTAGCGTGGCGAGCGCAGACCTCAGCTAGGTGAACCCAACGTCGCTTGACGAGCGGAACCCTTGAGTCGGCTCGAGCTGAGTGGCTGCCCTCACAGCTGGAAGGTGTAGTAACCTTGGCAGGAAATTTCCTTCCAGCCTTAAATTCTATTGCAGTCTTCACTTTGACACAATGGCACCCTTCTTCGAGAGCACACGTATGTATATATATATATAAATACATCACAATCTAAATTGACAAGATGGTCTTTTCTGCGAGTGCCAGGTCATGTTCCCAAATGCTGAATATGATGCGGAAATGCTTCTGACACTGCAAGTGACCAAAGCCTTGCTAGTCCAATCATGGGAGGAACAGCCCAAACCACAATGGATGAAATTGTGCGGAAGCAAGAAAAGAACAACCTTTGGACCTTTGGCTGCCGTTGCTCTTCCATTCAGCCAGCAGAGCTTTACTCGATAACAAGAATCGAGGTTCTGGCATTTGGGTCAGAGGCCTCTCAAGTCACTGGTTGGAAAGTCCGTTTCTGGAAGCTTGAGGTTGTTGTGTCTCCACTCTGCTAAACTGGAACAAACAGCCGTTTCCGCTCTGAACCTGACAAAAGTCTTGAGTTGGCGAATGGGAAGTGTGACTATGTACCGGCAGTGCATTCTTTGTCTCGCATGGAAGGAGCTCAAAACACGGAGAACCTGGATATCATCAAATACTTAATAAATACTGTGAATTGACAATTGGCCTATAGAAGTATAAGCCTATATAATGCACAACGGTTGCAACACCCAAGTAAGTCGCACGAAAATCAATGGACAACGGCTCAAGCTCAAGCTTTGAAACGCTTAAGCAGTTTCCAACAACTACCCGCCATTTCTTGTTTCACTCTTACGTGGCCAAAACATCTTACGTGGATGTCAACGGGTTGCGTCGCCCATGTCCCAAGGCCCAAGGATGTTCTTTTCCGAGGAGACTCATTCAGCACAGGGGGCTTCAAACAGCACATCTTGTGCCTGTGAAAGAAAGAAAGGCCCTCAATGAGCATCAAGCCAGGACTGTTCCCCTGGTGTGTACAACCACCATGATGTTCTCATCACAGTGCTGGCTCATTCTTCACTGTGCCATATGGACCGTTGCCCATCAGCCATCATAGGAGGCGATGATTGGAAAGAAGGTGTACTCTTCGCCGGGCTCAACCTCAAAAATGAAGCCGCTGCTGGCGCTGATCCGCCGACCAGCCAATCGCTCCAGTGGGGTGTAGAAGGCAAACCTCTCAACTCCGGCATCCTAAGGTTGCAAGTCTGGACTTTGCAAATAGTGAAAAGAAGAAGCGAGGAACACAGGGAGCTTCCCAATCGCCTCACCTGGGATCCTGCTAGATTGCCCTTTTTGGGGTTATGCTATGCATGGTTATGTATCCTTTGTCGGGCACATGCCCACGAGCATTTGAGGTAGAAACAAAGAGGCCCCTGTGCGCAGGTTCTCATGCTCACGTTCAGAAACTTGGTCCTTGATGTGCTGCATCTTGACCTTTGCCCAACGGCTTGGATCCAGATCCTTCGCTTCCTCTGGAGTAACCTTGGCAGCTGGGCCAAACTCCAGCATCTTCGGCTCTTGGGCATTTGTCCTGCAGGACACCGCATTCAAAGCCACCAACGTGTCATCCAGACCTCAAAGTTGCCAGGGCATTTGGGCAAATTATGACGTGTGTTCTCCAAGCCGGCCCTCAGACAAAACTGTCAAGGTCGAGTCTAGTCGGACTCATTCTGCCCTATATAGACGCTAATTGCAATGAAACGGTCGCTGAACAGTTTCGTTTCAGAACGCTTCGCTGAACAGGCCGAAGGCACTGAACATGGCAAAGGCGCCGTTCGTCAATGCTTGATGCTCAGACTCTGTGAGGTTTGACATATCCCGATGCTTAATTCCGCTCTCTTCGAGAGCAGGATGCATGAAAGCAACGGATACGGCTCTCTCATGAATATCAGCGAGTCGCCTTGTTTCAGGATCAAGGGTAAGCCGGATTACCGGGGAAAGCTTCACTTGAACTTGCAAGCCTTTCACCGTCAGCACTCCAAATTGGCTCTCAACCTCCCCATCACAGCGGCATTGCAAACTGGTGGCCGGTTCAAGTCGGGGGCATTTTTCCACACGCAACTGGAAGAAGGGTGCCAAGGCATCCGGAAAGGCTTCAAGGCCTGGTAACGTGTGTGCAAAGCGTGCGGTGATCCGTTTCCAAGAACCGGAGCGATCAATTGCAGCAAAGTACTGAAGCTTTGGGCTCTTCTCTGAATTGTCCATGCTGGCAATGAAGTCTGCATGAGGCATCAAGGTCAGCACCGACCTTCGAGATGAAAACCGGTGCTTGCCGTGGTGCGACTTGCCGAATCTATGACACCAGTTATTAAACCAAAAAAGAACCCCTGTTGTGTACGTTTGGTCAATTAGTTTCTTTGGGCGCTTTCCTTTAGAGAAAAACATCCCCACCTTTCCACTGCTGCAAGGCTTGCCTTTAGAGTGGCCTCAGGAATGCTGCGGCCAGTCTGTTGGGCTCTCCTGCAAACGCGATTGCGGATGATCTCCTCCTCAGAAAGCCGTGAGACGGGCCGATCCTCTGATGGTCTTTCAGCTGTCTTTCTTCACATTGTGAAACCAACACAGGTTAACAAGGATTGTGAACCCTTGCACTGAGCTTTCTGCCGGTGCAGTGATTTTAAAGATCGCGATCTGATACGCTGGGTAGCGCTCACGAATACCACTGAAAACATTGACGAACCACTCGGCATTACCTGAGAAAGGGGCCAATTTGCTAGTATGTTCAAAGGCGGTGGAAAAACAAATCAATAATTACACCAGCATCGATCCCAAACAGCAGCGGCAGCTTGATATTCTTGGCGTGGCTCGCAATTGCAGTGCCCAACCCCAGTCAACCAAAAGCATACCTGTCAAACCGGGTCATTCCCTACCTGAAAAATAAAAGATTTGGTTGGAACATCCAAGAACAAGAGCCCCGGGAGACAAAGGGAGACAAAGCAGTGATCATTTCAGCCCAGCATTCAGACAAGGTAAGCAAAGGGAGCCAAAGCAGAATCATCTCAGCCCACAATCCAGAAGAGCCATGACGACAAAGGGAGACAAGCAAAATCATCTCAGCCCAGCATCAAGAAGAGCCATGACAGACAAGGGGAGGGGCACAAGCAAATCATCTCAACCCACCACCAGCAGCAGAACTATGCAGGACAAAGGTAGACCCACGGAGACAAAGTAGAATCATCTCAGCCAGCATCCAAAAAACCAGCAACCAAGGAGCCATGGGAGAGACAAAGGGAGACAAAATGAAACAAAAGGCAAGAAATCATCTTGGCCCAGGCCCGTTTCTAAGCAAGAATTGAGAATCCCGCACAGCAAAGCTGCTTGGGGAACAAAGGGCGACGAAGCAAAATCATCTCAGCCCAGCATCCAGACACGCCATGGGAGACAAGGGGAGACAAAGGGAGACAAAGCAAAATCATCTCAGCCCAGCATCCAGACATGCCATGGGAGACAAGGGGAGACAAGGAGAGACAAAGCAAAGTGACCCCAGCCCAGCATCCAGACACGCCAAGGAGACAAAGGGAGACGAAGGGAGACAAAGCAAAGTCATCTCAGACCGGCATCCAGACACGCCATGGGAGACAAGGGGAGACAAGGGGCGGGAATCATCTTGGCCCAGCATCGTTTGTATGCATGAATTGATCGCCCCTCACAGTAAAGCTGTTTGGGGAATACACTCATCAAAGAACTGCTCAACTTCGTGTACCTGTGGGGATTGGGGATCATCTTTGTCTTCCCCACCCAAAGATCTTCCAAATGAATGTAGGTCACGCAGGGAGCCATCCACCCAAATATGCTGCTGACGCTTAAGGGACTCCTCTAGCGCAATCTCCTGCATGTAGCAGCTCTCACGATGGCACCGGTTCCCAGGGATAGATGGATCCTTCAGCTTCTTCCCATGCTCCACATAAGAAGACCACTCAGGCATCACCTGCTTGAAGTGATCCGGGTCAATGTGGACGATGTCTTCCAATGGGAAGATCCCCCGGTTGGACAACCAACCCAAAGCATAGCCCTTCCCTACGCCCATGGCACCGCAAGTGAAGACAAGCCGTGGCCTGGCCTGTTCCGTCGTTCGTTGCACGACCGTATTGATCACACTATCTTGCCAACGCTGTCGCTCTTCGGAGTAGCGACCGTGAAAAGCATGATCTCTCGTCGCCTCAGATTTAAGTGACTTGAGTCCGCTGTGTGATGAGACGGCAACGTGTTGGCACTGATTACTGTGATGCATATATTTACTGCAAGCACAGGCCCAAACGCACAAGCACGGGCCCACTATTTGTAGAACGAATATAACAATTATATTTAGACGACATTAGACGGAAGCCACGAGTTTTGATACCCTGGCGCTTCAGCCATGAGCGTAGGTTGCAACCTTGTGACTCTGATGTCTGCATAAGGGCCAACGAAGTCAGAATTCTCCTTGGGGCATTGCAGGTCTGACAACTGCTGTGTTCCAAGGGGCAGAACAAACTTCACAAAAGAACAAAAGGCCATCTGATCCCGTCGCTTAAACGACGAGAAAGCAATTTCCACCAAGCTTTCAGCAAATTCAAAAGCTAAAGCTAGCTGCTTGCTTGCGTAATGCCACCTGGATTCACTGTAGTGGTTTTGCGCTGTGTCCATATCAAGGCTATAGCCCTCCGGTAGCTTCCAATTCTGCGGCCTCTGCAGCTGCACTACGCAGCGAATGTTTTTCAGGAAGAAGCGGTTGCGGATGGTTCGGATGAAGACATCCTCCGTCATGCGGTGTTCGCCTTCCTCAGGCGCGGTGTCGATCCACACCGCATGTGCCAAAGGAAGAAATCGTCAAATGAAATGGTTTTGGGGGTTAGGCTTTTTAATGTCATGCCATACAGATCCACATATCACATGCGACAGCATCCTGCTGTATTCTGCTCTTGAATCCGAAAGTGAAGAAACACCCAGCACTCACTTCCTACTTCCTCTGAAACCAAATTGTTATCCAGAATCAAGGTCTTTTACTAAGTCAAGTCACACCAAACACCACGATGTCAAAGATCCGTTCCAATTCACGGAAGGTCAGGTCTATGTGTAGGAGAGACCTTGACACTGGAAAAGCGTTCAGGCATAGCGGCCGCTCTATTTGCCGAAATCCTTCTAAGGTGACTTATATAGCTGAAAATTACACTATTACTATGGCTCGTCTTGTCAGGGCCCTACCAAGTGACGAGTTCCGCACTAGCTCATCTATCTTGGAGAGCTACAAGAACCGGAAAAGGATAAAACTGAACAAGACCCCAATGGCAAGCTAGTACAATTCCCAAGTCTTGCCCAGGCACTGACAAAGTTTCACAAAGTCCTCCTTTTGCAATGCCTCACCCTCGGTAACCGAGTGGAAGACCTGCCTTGGAGTCGGAGGTCATTCAGGCATCAACTCACATGTCACTCAACTGCGAGTTGGTGGGTGTAAGCAGCTTCTGACCATGAAATGCTCAGGTTTTCCAGCGAGGGCCAAAAGGTCCTGCAGTTGACGAATTTCTGCTTGAAGGAATAAGTCTAATTGTTGCTCTTGTTCTCCTCTGACAGTCCGACAGTGACTGAAGACTTCGGATTGGCCGAGTGACCGCAGGGCTGCCACATCGTCGCAATCCGTTGTCTGCAGGATCTCTGCAGTCTGCCGGGCACGACGCAGCAGCTTGAAGCTCTCACGAGGCTTCTTTGCAACCAGTCCTCCAAAAAGTGCGCTGCATGACTGCATGACATGAAGGAAAAAATACCATGGTTTTTGGCCTTGACCAAGGTTTACAAACACTTGCAGGTCTTCCATGTTCAGCCTTGACACCGTGATCATCTTTCAGCCTTTGGCCTCGGAAGGGCCCTGCCTGTTACCACGGCCGCAGCCCAGAAGCACCGCCCACTCGGTGGAGAGAAGCAGCCGGTCGCATCAGGCCAACACTCAGATTTCAGCGGCCTTCCAATGAGCCACACATGTTTGAACTAAAGCAGAGATTTAAGCGAAGTTTTCCCAAAAATAGCTTGAACCTCCGCCCCCGCCCTCCGGTGGCGCTGTGCTGCCAGAGGAAGGCTATATTCGTAAGCAACTCTTAGCCTACCCCCTTTGCCCAAAAAGAATTGCACAATCCAGAAGTAGCGGAAAAGATCTGAACAAAAACCCGCCTTTCGTGACTCACAAAGAGTGCATGTCCAAATTCGAACCTCACGATGACAAGTTGACCAGTATTTAAGCAAAGCTGTTTTTCAAATCGGTAGCAATGCTCGAAGACATTTGATTTGGGCAAGGAGCATTTGCCTAGAAGGCAGTGCCACCGCACCATACATGGCTCGACATAGGAAACGGCGAGCAATGTTACATTTGGGTCATTCCAGGGACACCGCGGGCCATGAGATTATGTCAATCAATGTCACATTGTTGCTTTAGTCTAAGTTCAACGCTTAAAAACCATCATCATGAAAAGAACCGTTCATTTCGCACCAAAAGGTAATCAAACAGTGGTTTCTTATAACTTTTGCTATTTTGAGCCGGTCTGACGAGTGGTAGAGTGGAGCCGGGCTCTGTGGGCAGGACTGGTTTCGCACTAACAAAATTGTGTTTTTGGCAAGTTGTGAAGCTGGTGCCAGTGGTCAAGTTGGTAAGAACTCCCTCCTCATGTGCTCACATCGACAAGTATCCTTGCCTTTGCACCCGTGGCTGTAGAAGCAGCGCACTCAGAATCCTCAAGGATCTTGATCTGAATAGCAAGACAAAATCTTTAGAACATGTTGAAAAATCATTGGAAACTTCATACAAACCGCTGTAGACTGTAGGTAAACCTTCAAACAACACAGTGCGGTTCTCCCATCTGGGATGCGTATGGGGAATTCTTCCAAATGTGCAAAATCTGTCCTCATCGGTGCGCTCACTGTTTCGAGACCTGGCAAAATCTCATCGTTCGATGGTCCTACATTTCTTAGTATTGACCTTTGTTTCCAAATCGAAACGTTCGTTTGTTCATGCAACAAGTCTGCAATAGTTCAGCAACCCTTTCAATAATGATATATTATGTAGAGATTTCATACGCAAAGACAGCTGGCTGCGAAGAGCCTCACTGAATGTGGGGTCGGCATGGATCTCTGTCCACCAGTCCGACCTCGCAGCAGCCAATCCGTCGCCGGAGAAAAGCCGCAAAGGGATGTGCAATTGGCACGTAGAGGACACTCTGTTTGATTGTTAAGTGGCACGAGTCGCAACCCAATCGGAATGTTCGCAACCAGGCCTTCATGCAAACATGACCTCCACACTGGGAGACGCTTGCTGCCAATGCGGAGCGTGGGTACAAGGTGCTTGATCACTTTCACTCAATAGCCTCATTCTCTTTTCATCGGCTTGTCATTTGTCCAAAAGTTGATTCTGGAGGTGGGGTCCTTCCAAATTAAATTGATGGATTGCGATACATGCTTAGACCACTTGTTTAGCTACTGAACACTCCAGGCCAAACCAAAATGGCAGTGAGGTCAGGCTGAGAACACTTGATGCAATGATTCGCATGTCGTTGGATCAAGTCATCACAAACATCACACCCTGTCAACTCAACTGTCGCGATGCGCTGCAAGGATGTCGTGTTTTTCATGCGATGCATCAAGTGATGTCACAAGGTGTGCTGCACCAGCCGCATGGCCTAGGAAAAAAGACATGGAAGCATCACACTCCAACACTGAAAGTCAGTGGACGTGGAAACGAGTTCGAGGATTTCTCGGGGTTTTGCAACATACAAAGGACAGTCCATCAATGAAAATCCAGCACCACCTCAAAGCTGCGGCCTTTTCGGAAATCCTCTTTTGATTTGAACTTTCCAAGTACAGTAGATGGAGTATCTCTAAGGCTCCTCTCTGCAAGATGTAGTTCATGGACACCTTTTTCTACAAACCTCATGCATTTTGTCTGCGAAGGTGCTCTACATGTGGCCAAGGTGCTGGAGGTCCTGGCAGGTGTGTGCAAGAATCTTGGGAGGCCGCTCAATTTTTCACCACCCGGTGGACTCAAAGGTCGTCCTGGTCGAGACACTTGGTAGCTGGCCGGCCTCGGAACCCGCCAAGATGTGCGGCCGGCTGACCGAGACCAGTCTTCCAGGGTGGCTGCTTGTCCCAGGTCACTCGGTTATCCGGTTGGCCGGTTGAGCCTGCGGTTTCCTGGTTAGTCGGTTCAACCATTGAAGCATGTCATGTTCAATTCAGGTCCACAATAAATATATATATATATAACGTCCTGTTGTGCATTGAAATATTGCTTTCATTATCTAACACCCTGTTTTTATGTATTCCCACTCATTTTCACTGTCAGTTCATTTCTCAATATCACAGGCCCTGTTCATGTGCGCTTAACTCATCAAGATATCTTATTGTCCTGTCGTCTTCACTAGAACATTTTACAGCCCTGCTTCTCTTTGCGTTCTTTTCAAAAACTCTCAGTGTCCTTTAAAAAAACTATCATGTCCTTTCAAATCATTGGATTTGCACATCATTGTCCAGCCTACTCACTGCGTCCTTTAAAATGCGTTCTAAAAAGATTGCCTCATTGTCCGTTGCAAAAAGATATGTATATATATATATATGTGTGTTTTCTCATGTTCCTTTAAACCCAGATCATGTTCTTTTCATCGTTTCACTGTCCTTCCACTGTCATTTCAACTTTACCTCTTCCATTGAAACCTGTCATTGTCCTTTCCTTCCTTGAAAGGATCTGCGTTTTTGCCTGAATTGTTCCTGGTCAGCCTGTTGCGCCAGCAGCTTCCAGCCTCCCCACCCGAGACGACAGCTTGACAGAGTTTGAACCATTGCAAATCTAATCTGTTATATCTTATCTACTATGCGCCGGCCTTGTCTCTTACTGGGGGGTGTCTTAACATGTCTTAACTACATCTGGCAGCATTCCCTTCCTGAACCTCTCGACCTTTTTCCAGGCTCCAGTATGCATCAGCGCTGCGCTCTGAGTCCTGGGTTTATTACGTTTGGAAACAGAGGGTTGCAGCATTGTGGCAGAAGTATACCCAACTGACACCGTGAAGGAAATGGCAAAGTAGTCACCTGCCCCTGATCATCTTCTGGGCCAATCTCGAAAAGGAAGGAGTCCAAAGAAGAGAGTTGCTTGCTGTTGCAATATTGTTTCTGGCAGAAAAAGAACTGAGACCGGCCACAAAACACGTTTTTTTGTGTAATATGTTCTACTTGGCCAACACAAGCCTGTGGAATGTACTAGATCAATCGCTCCAACCCGCAATTCACAGCAGCTTGGCTGGGCTAGAAGGTCTCCCTCCATACAGACCAAAATCTTCCAATTTCTTATATTGAATGTGCACGGCCACAAGGCCTTCTGGTCACAGTGTTGGCTACACAGATTGACATCATGAAACAGTCAGACAGTACCAACCTCTACAACTAACCGCAAATAGGACAACCTAGGGCGCCAATCCTGTAATCCTTCCACAAACAATCCTGCTGCAGAGGATGTTTGTGCAAAAATCTGCTCAGCAGAATGTGCGATCTGTTTTGCATGTTGCAGTCCGCAAGCTTCGCCATATTTCTGAGCATTCATCTGGTCAAGCCTTTCTCTTCACCTTGGACTACACGTCTTCTTACTAAAAAATGGCCGGTCTACGAAGACATTTGATGTGTGTGGTTGGTAGCAACCTCGAAAACGCTGATTGTTTGCAAGGTTTGCATACCCTAAACTTTAAACCCCCCTTTTTTTCGCACACGCTTCACCATCTTCACCAAAGCTTTTGAGCTTCACCAGCTGGTGGGCCACAACTTTGGCTGCTGTTGTCTCCTGCACGGATGCTTCACATCACCACCGCACTTACTTGCAGGATGCCCGCAAAAGCCCTCATTGAAGGAAGCGCATGCAATCCCAGTGACCTCATTATGCGGGCATGTAGTTGCAAAGACATGTCCTGTTGCTTGTGCTTGTGACCGATGTGCCAACATCCGATGCTTTTTCTCCGACTGCCTCGCGCATGTCCGCAAGTATATAGTTGCAGGGAGCGCGCATCTCTTCCCGGCAAATCGGTTTCTCAACCCAATCGTGCACGCCAAAGTTTCTGACAGGCCAGTTCCTGTGTGTGTGTGTGTGCGTGGCAACCAAAAAGGAGTACCACCTAAAGCTGCTTAAGAGACTTATCATTTGGATGTCTAAGCCTCTGAAAAGCGTCTAAAGCCCGTGCCTTTGGACTTGGAGGCATCTTTACAGGAGCAAAGAGCCACAAACAGCTCCAAGATGTAAGCGGCGAAAGAAAGCAAAACTGCCCCTGCTGTTGTCGCTGTCGTCATGGTTAAGGCTTCCTAGTCTTAGAGAAGACCAAGTGGATGTGGCAGGTGGGGTTAAGACTCTGCCTGGCGGTGTCCCAGTTGCTCGCTCGACTGGTTCAACCGAGAAGCAACACTACCCGATTGAGACGGCCAACCGCCACCACCTGCCGGGGTTCACCCAGTGTCCTGCTTGCCGGCTGCCACCCAATCCCCGCGCAGGCTGATCCAATCGCTCTCCGAGTCCCCAGCTGCAGAACCCAGGGTTGAACTGGTATCGGTTGTCCTGGTGTCATGTGCACCAAATATTTGGACATGACATGCTGTCATGATGAATGGTGAGATGATGTGAGCATATCTGCAATATCTTCTGTTCACTGCCCTTTGGCCAGCCTGGCATTGTCGGCACCGTCATTGGTAGCCTTGCAGATGGAACCAAGATCTGTGGCGCAGGGGGTGGTGAGCTCGCAGCCCACCGAGGCCTCAGGCTAGTTCTTCATTCAGGTCCCAGGAATCTTTTTCCCATGCGACAAGTCACCAACTAGCCAGCAAGTCACGAACTGGAAGTGACCAAAAATGTGCCGAAAAATCATGTTCTTTACGCTTCGATAAAACCTGCAGTTGAGGGTCAGCTGGATGGGTTGGCCATAAGGCTGGTCCTGCCTGCAACGTGAAGAGGGAGTGACACTAAAGAGTCGATGCTCAAGCCATTGCAAGGAGCCAACTCTCTTTCTTCTAAGACATGCACTGGAAGCGAACTAGAATCGAGCTATACATCAGAGTCATCAGAGGGAGGAAAGACTATCTAGTTGTTCACTTTTCAGATGATTGTGATTTCAACCACACAGTTCCATGCCTGACCACAGGTTCAGCAGACCTTAGTAATCGGTAAAACTCAGATCCAGATGAGAATGACTGGAAGCTTGTCATTTGTCCGAAACAGCTTGAGCATCCCCGAACATTTGACTCGGGGACTCATAACAGCAGGGTGAGCGAAATCTTGAGGCAGAATAGGCATCATTCAAAAGTCTGCAAGCCGT